GGGGGGGGGGGGGGGTCGTCTGCACTCCAGCGGCAAAGATCTCTGCGGCCCAGCGCCCTGGCCTGCGCCCCACACGCACTGTGTATCACTAGATCAGAGACTGTGACACCCCGCACACGGCCCACGCCGCCGGCGCCGCGCCGGCACGTTACCGCGATGTGTGTAACTACCAGTCGCCCTCGCAACCGTATTTTTACCATACATGTGAGCGTGTGTATATGCAAAAATGCGAGGCCGCGCCCACGCGGGGGCACACGGGGCCCAGGGCAGGTGCGGCCAAATGACGAGATCGAACATGTCACCCCGCACGGCGCGCGCCCCCGAGCCCGACCCGCTGCGCGCCCCCGCGCGGTGACGTGTGTGTCGACTCCGCCAGCGCGCCACCGCTCACGGCTCAGAATCGTCGTACGAGTAAATCCCGGCAGCCACAGCCAGACCGCACGGTCACGCGCGCCACCAAAGCTGCGGGCCCGTCGCCCACTAGCTGTCGCCCTCGACCTTTTGCTTCTTCCACTTTCGCGCCATGTCGAGGATCTTGAGCGAGGGCGCCGCCGCCTCCTCCTCTGCAAAGATGTAGTCGTAGTACTCCTCCCACCCCGCCGCCTCGCCCTCTTCCCCCAGCACTGGCCGCCGCTTCTTGACCCGCTTCGGCATCTTCGCCTCCACTGAAGCGAGCGCCGCCTCCGAGCCGCCGCGCGCGAGCATGTCCCGCCACGCCTAATTCGGAGCCCCCCCCCCGGAGAGGTCTCGGAAGCGTGCCCGACGTCGAGCGCTTGGGGGATCTCGGGCCATCTCGGGCCATCTCGGGCCATCTCGCGCAATCTCGCGCACCTCGAGGACGAGCACTCTCTCGTCCTTCTGCCCGGACTCGCGGAACGACGCCTCCGCCTCTGCGTACACGGCGGCCGCGCGCTCGCGCGCCGCCTCGCCCTCGCCCTCGCCGCCCGCCTCGACCTCCATCGTCGCGAAGGAGAGCCACACCTTGACGTGCCGCGTGCTTAATTAGTTACTAATTAATAATTACTAATTAACTA